AAAATAAATCTTGTGTCTTTTTGGGAGGTCTTTAGATTGAATTCTTGGCAAATTATAGGTTCACAATAATATTAAATTAATTCCTTTGGAAATGCAAATTATTTTACTATGTACACTATTTGCTCCAAAACCTTGAAACTGAAGTTTTCTACATATTTAATTTGACACACTGCCTGATAAAATCAGTGGACATCTATTCTTCAGCTTTAAAAGCAGCAGGGAGAAGTCCCTACAAAACAGGTATTTTAGGGCTAGCAGAAACACAAACATCCTCACATTATCTTTCACAAAAAAAGGATGAATTGCTACTGAAGTGAGGAATAGTTCATTCCTCACAGCCATGCAATAGTATGGCCTGTATGCTGAAATACTCAACAAAATGACCAATTAGTACTAATTGTGATAGCAGGTTTTGTGATGTGCTCATGCTTCTGCTGGGAGTTGGACTGAACAAACTGGCTCATTTCCTGTTGGTCTCTGAACAAGACTCAAATGGTAAAATGGTAAAAATCTATATTGTCCTGGAGTGGATTTGACCAAAACTTATTACATAAACGAGTTAGGTCCCATTATTTATCATGTGAATAATTTTATTTTTCTCCTCATTTTAACTGTGTGTTGTCTGAATTGATAGTAAGACAGTCACTTTGTACTATGGCCATCAGAAAGCAGTATGGAGTTTGGAAACAACTTTTTATTGGCATCAGGTTTATCTCATATAACATTTTTCTGTATTACTTAAGATGCATTTTGAGAGTGAAATTTTGCCTTCTCTGAAGTCGTGACAAAACTTGAGTTGATTTTACTGAACTGCAAATTTAAGCAATAAATAACATTAAAATTACCTTGAGCAACCTTTTGTTTCTTCTACCTTTTGCATGGATAGATCAGCCACTGGTTTATGATCACCACTTAATTTCTGCTCATTTTGTTCATTTGTTTCAGATACAGAGATCACAATTTTCTTTTCAGGCTGAATGTCTTCATGTTTTTATGTAATAAAAGAAAATTCAATGCATATATAAGAACAGTATGTATGATAGTTATACTGCTCATCTAGAGAGACAGACTGACAGCTATTTGCACAATTTCGAAGGAAAAATGTGTTTTTTGGCTTCCTTTTTTAAATTAAGAAAAATTGTTGTTTGGAAACAGGAGTCTACTAATCATAGGATATGAATATTAGAATGTTTTATTTATTGTTTAGATTGGATAAGTTTGAAGTGAAGTTGAGGTAGCATCTGGGTTTCCAAAGGAGTTATGACATAGGATGCTAGTAGAATACTGACATCAAAGCTCTTGTGGTCTATTTAGTTATGACAGATTATAGTATAACTGTGCTTTTAATTAATCCTAGTTGGATGTTAGGATTGTCAACCATATCTGTAGATAAACTAAAATAACATTACATTCATATTATGTCTGTACGATGGAATTTTGTTAGCGTAGCTTTTCCATGAATTTCCTTTACCTGCTTTCACACCTATCAAGGTGTCTCCACTGCTGTAATCATTTGTAATGTCTTCTTTTCTTCTAAATTCAGCTTCACCATCTTTGATCCCCTCTTTGGGCCTTTGTTCTACAGATTCTGACTGTAATGGTATTTCAACCACTGAGAAAGAGAGAAGGAGGTGGTGTCAGTACTGCCTCTTAGGAACTCAGGGAAGCTGTATAAATATAGGGACAGAATTTAATCCACAATAAAAGGACCAAAATGTATATAAGGTTCTAATTCTGTCCTATGTTATGACAAACTTACTGATCTTACTGGGTGTAGGAACAAACTTGTCAGACTATATTCTCATTTCTTTAACAGCAGGGTAACTAAGAATTGCATTTGGATGAGTAAGAACAAAACTCAATATTAGGAGTGCAATTGGTAAAATATCCCCTACTAAATCTAATATTACAAAAACCTAAGTCTGTCTATCTGTCTGTCCATAACGCTTTATTTGCACTCTGATTGGCTGACAGAAACAGCTGATCAGAGTGCTCCAAGAGCGGGAGAGGGCAGCAATGATTCCAAAGCCATGCAGAGGACCAGACAGGGTCGGGGGAGCTACGGCCAGTAGCGTTGGCCTTGGCTACCCCACCCTGCTCCCTACAAGAGGCAGAACAGCAGCACTCCATCCCAGGCCCCTCCTCTCCCCCCCATCATTCTTGACGGGCAACTGGCTAGTAAGAAATAAAATCAAATAGCCATCTAATCACTAAATTATGATTACCAGAGAGAATTGTGGCCAGCTGATAGTGTAGCTTTTCTTGCAATTACCTGCTTTTAAAAAAGTGTTTTCATTGTTTGTCTGGGTTCTACAGTCACTCAAAGACTCTTCTGACACCTCTTGCTCATTAACATCTGCTCTGGCTACCTCTTCCACACCAGTTTCTCCACGCAGTTGTTGCATTTTAAGCCCTGCCATTTAGATTAATAGCAATTAAGTTAGTAATAGCCTTCTGATTCAATCCTTTTGCCTGTACTCAGGCCAGATTTCCAGTGGTCTCAATGAGAATATCTCCTATGTTGCAGTTGGATCAGTGGGTGCTTATACGCATGCTCTGGAGTTTGGGGAAGGAAGGGGGCTTTTGAATTAGAGCAGCTCTCGGGAGACGCTGTAATTATAATGCCTGCAGAGTCTTGTGTATTCAGCATCCTGCTTTTCAAAATGGTGGCGGGGCATTTAACTAAAGCTCATTCGACAAGCTTTAGTTAAAGCACCCCGCCACCATTTTGAAATGTGGGATGCTGAATACATGAGACCAGTGCCGTAGCAATGAAGTTTGGTGCCTGGGGCAAAGCCTGCAGTGGCAGCCCATCCTAGCCAGTGGCAGCCCATCCTAGCCCCACACACAGATCCATGGCATACACCCCCCATGCTTGCCCAGGGGTGCATGCAGCAGCGAGAGCTGCCCTCCCCCCCCAAATGAGCCACTCGCAGCTCTGTCCCGTACCCTGCCCCTGCTGGGCAGTGCCTGTTGGGGCCCCTTTGCTATCCCGTTTTATGGCACTGCATGAGACACTGCAGCACCCTGGAGCATCCTGGCTGGAGCACTGCAGCAGGCTCAATTAATGCTCTGACACGTTCAGCGCGAGCAGACTTCTGAGCCTGTGGCACAATGAACAATTATGTCCAATATCATTCAGACAGGACTTTTAACATATCAATGGGTGTTATGGGATCATTCAGACAGGAATCTGGGTAAAGATGCACCTTGTAGATAGAATCATAGATGCCGATGGGTATTTGGAGCCTGAACTCACAATGACTTATGCATCTGTTTTACCTTGTCTATAACCCTGTGCCTGCCTTTAGACTAAGAACTGCCACACTCAGTATCATCCAGGAAATGATTTGGGTGTCTGAAAAACGGAGTCTGTGAGGCCTTGCTGTAGGACTCCGCAATCCCAGCCCTCAGGCTCACGGCAAGAATGAGCCTCCTGCAGACCCTGCTGCTTGTCAAACCAGACCCGGACAGAAACCCGCCACAACCACAGCGGCTCTACACTTTAAAGCACAAGCTTTGGAACTAGCGGGGTCCCATTTATCCCGTGAAAATGACTTCGCACGTGTGAACGACCCTAGTTCCCTGCACAGAGGCGTACTCTATGTAACGTGTAGCAACTCTCCCCCCAATGAGTCAATGGAGAAGCCGCGAGAGCCCCAATTCCCGCCCCCTGCAGCCATCGGGGAGCAGGCCTCTGGCCGGGCCGCCCGCGAGCGCATGCGTCCCTGCTCGAGTGAGACTGAGGCACACCGCCAGCTTGTCCAGCTCAGTGCGGAGCCTGCAGCGCCCGGCAGCGGATCTAGGCCGGGGGAGTTCACCTGGGACCCGAGCAGCCCAGCGCCGCTCAATCGCTCCAACCGCTCCTCCCGTTTCCATGGCGACTGGGAAGCGGGACCGGCAGCCCCCGCGCCAGCGGACCCCGCCCCCAGCGTCTTGGTGGGCTGAGCGCGCGGTGCTGGGCCAGGCTGCTCAGGTAGCGGCGCGGGGGGCTGGGCCGGGCCGGGCCTGGCCTGGCGGGGGCGGGAGTTGACCGCCCGGACGGGACGTGTTGGACCTGCAGCACCGCTCCGGAAGCTGCAGCGCCATGTGCAGGCCAGACCCTTGCTGGAGGCGGGTGGTTGGCTTTACCCTTGGAGCAGGTGGAGGGCACCTGGGGCAGCGCCCGCTCCTGAGATGAGCTGAGCCCCTGCCCTCTCGGTGACCCCCGGCCTGGGCGTGCCCCGCGTCCCCCAGCCCCTTTTGGGGCTACTTTCCTAGGCGCCACAGGGCTGAGCGGAGCCGTTTAGTAATCCTCCAAAGAAACGGCCTCGTGGTTCGTGTACTTTGACAGCCTTCGCCTCTGGTATTGGGCATAGATCAGTTTTTCTTGTCGGGTCGTCAGGCTGCTGTCCAGTCTCTGGTGCATCTGAACCTAGTGAATGCATTGTGTCTACTCTTGCTTAAGGTCTTTTGTTAGATTTACTTGGCATGGGCCCTTTCTGTTCTTGACCCTTTTCATTGCAAGTGCTATTTCTTGCAGTTGAAGATGATCCATTTCAACAGCCCATTAATGTCATGTAACGGGTTTGTTTGTTTTTTTTAACCATCCTAGAGTTTCTTGAAATGTTCCTTCTTTGCGACCATCACTCACTCTTCTTATTTCAGGTTTTTGCCTGTTTCCAGTGTAATGACTCTAGTTTGCAGCGTCCCATCAGCGAACTCTGTCTCACACCACAGCCTTATTTTACTAAAGTGCAAAGTAGAGTTTTGTGATACAAGTGGTCTTAAACCACTTTCATATTCTGTCAAGAGTGAATATCACTCTCCTAGTTTCTCCCTTGTCTCATGATGCTTAGTTACATACGTTTCTTTGTGTAGTAAAATCAAAACACCCTGCCAGCATTCTCTTTTGTGCAAGAAAGAATGTAGTGCACCAACTTCAGAATAAGTAAAAATAAATAAATAATTAATTAATTAAAAAAAATTTAATTTAGTTGAATTTTCTGCCACTTTGCCACAAGGCTGAATATGTCCTATTGTTTCCTTCTGGTGGACTTTTGATCATTGGCTTATCACCTTTTACATTCAGGACCCCCAAATAATTTTCCTCAAATTAGGATGGAGAGAATCCATCTGAACTATAATTTAGATCCTGGCCTTAGAAACTTCAAATATCAGGTTCCTGCACTGTGCTTCCACTAAAATCATAATTTTACAATTTACCTTGGTTTACACTATATTCAGGATGTAGAAAATGTCACACTTGCTGCTCTGTAAAAGTTGAGGGTATGAAAACCTGGATTATGGATCTTTCAACTTGTGGTTTGTCAATGCCGCTCTTGGCATTTTAGGTGGTGTGAAAAATTCATTGTCCATGTTTTCCTCTGATCTTGAAGCAGCAGCTGGTGCTGAGCAGTAAGAAGAAGGATGGGGGTATTTGCTGCGTGGCTAATCTCGCTAACAATACCTTCAAGCATTCCATCAGAAATACTGGACCAGTTTTTCACATGGTATGTAAAACGTCGTGGGCTTCATCTGCTGTAATGATTTAGTTTTACTTGATACAAAAGAAAAGCTATTAAAGGAGTAAAGCAGGTTAGTTTGTGGTTGCTTTTCACAATGAATACTTGAGAGGCAGGTTTTGTTTTTGTCTTTTAAAGGATTTGGTGGTAAAAATGATTTAAGATTAAACATTTAACAAGTTAAGAAAGCTGAAATAAAAGTATTACTACAAAAATTGCATCAAGAAAAAGCAAGAATGGCTAGTAAAAAAAACAAAAGAAAAACAGGGTGAAGACAATACCTCCTGGATGAGTGGCACGCTTCAATTGCCTTGTATGCTAGTGACCTTGAGTCCCATAAGTAAATAGAGAGGAGTTAATATTTTCCAACAGAATAGTTTGTGAATTTCAGCATTCACTGAATGACTGAAATGAGAACAAATAATACAGAGGTGGTCAGAGTCACTCTTAAGACCCAAATTAGGGGATGATTCACTTGAGAGGCAGTAAGTCAGGGGTGGGCAAAATGTAGCCCACAGGCCGGATGTGGCCCGCTGGGCCATTCTATCTGGCCCACAGGGCCCCTGAAAAATTTAGAAAACTTATATTTATCTGCCCCTGGCTGCCTGTTATGTGGCCCTCAGTGGCTTGCCAAAACTCGGTAAGCAACCCTCCACCCAAAATAATTGC